TCCTCTCGTTTCAAACCTTGCTTCCTCCTCGATCCCTGATAATCCTCCGAGGCGTCTGAAAAGAAGATGGCCTCGGGACCTTCTAATATAGAACTTTAATTTGGGTTCTACCAATGGGTAGTTTCTCTTCATGTTGTACATGTCATGTTACCAATGTCACATTTACTTATTGTATTTTCCATGTAATACAGTTGTAAATCTCAATAAAATAAAATTAAATATATATATATATATATATATATATATATATATATATATATATATATATATATTTAAAATTTTATCTGTTGTGTTTTATTTTATTTTAATTTATTTTTTAGTTCTCTTATGGCAATGATAATATAAACAATTATTTACCCAAATCGATTAGTAACTTGTTTTAAAATATCATATTTTTTAAAGTTATGATTAAATTTATAAAAATCATTTCGGTGTTAACAAACATAGCATCATTGTTACTTAAGGTAATTAACAGCAATGTTAAATATATATATATATATATATATTTTTGAAAAGTTTATGTTTGTCAAAAATTTTACTCTCGATCTAAATGTTATCCAATACAAAGAATTAAGTGATTTAAAAGGATATTGAAAAATGTATATTGCTTTTTAGTGGTGATTCGTTTCCTAGCCATTTTATTTTTTAAAAATGAAATAAAGACTTCATTCTGAAAGTTTGTAGGCAATAAATTACATTGGTATCTGATTGCGTCCATGCCCTTGAAGAAACATTGCATTGGCTGATTGGAGAGTTTTGTGTTGTAAGTCCCTAGTGTCTTATTTTCAGATCCCTCAGAGGGTTCTCGGAAATCGATTGGGAAGTTAGAAAACTTGTAAATTTGAACGGCTATGGTGAATATAAAAGATGAGAGGGGCTATACACGTCGCTAGAAATATGGAAAAAACCAATAAATTTTAAAACTGATACAAAAAACTTGAGTAGTCATTATTCGCATGTCATAAATAATTTAAAAACATATAAAATGTTCTGATGACAGGAATAAACAAAATAAATATAGGGGAGGGAATGATAAAATAGAATATATTAGTACAGATTCCACTTTAACTAACCCAGTATTTGTGACAATGGAAAATATTCATTTGTGAATATATATTTTTATTTTAAATTTAATTAAGTTAATTTTAAATAAATTTAAAGATAATGTCGTTTTAACGGTTTTTAATTGTCTGAGATGATGGATGATTAACCCGAAAGGTAATACAAAAGTAAATAAAGATGATTATATGAATGTTTTATTTATAATCAATTCTTTATTGTGAAATATTAAAATCTGTCAAATCTAAGGACAATAGTAATAGTGACAGAAGAGTAGCTAATTCACACTATGTGCAATAAATAAAAATCAATAAACAGTAAAAAAATAATATATTCTGCAATTCTGCAGTATATATTGTTGAGGTTGGGGGTAATTTATACTTATTGGGTATCCCATTTACAATTACTGCAAAACCGACATTATCATTCTGCTTGGATCCATCACTGTATATTATTTCATAATCTGAATATTTTTGGATTTTTTTTAGGAATTTAAATTTATTGAAATCTCAGTTTTTGTGCTTAAATGTGAGGTCTATTTTAACTTGTTGATATTTTCAGGTTGGCGATCTAAAAATAGGGACAGATTGTTCATTTGGCATGCTGTATATTTCGCCAATGACTTTCCTTTGCTTTATACCTACTGGAGCACTTCTTGCAGGACTCAGTTCATAATTTCTATCGCTTTTTTGATGGAATAAATAGGAGTCCGTAGGGTTTGTTGGCTGGAGTTTTAATTTTGCAATATAATTGTTGATTAGTTCATGCCTTCGAAAAAAGAGAGGAGCTATGGAGGCCTCGGCACAAATACTTTGTATTGGACTTGTCCTAAAAGCTCCAGTGGCAAGTCTTATTCCCGTGAAGGTAATCTTATTCAATGTGAAGGTAGATTCAAACCAGGTAACATGAGAAAACGTTGTACAAAAGGAAGATTAATGTAAACCGTTTTTACCTCAATATCATTTATTGCACCGTTTGTAAAAAAAGGATGGCAATAAAATCTCTTGGAAGGGAGAGGAGCGTTCGCCATCGGCCTTGAGGAGGATGGGTTTCCTTTTGTAGATCTTCAGAGGCATTAAGCAGTCTTCACTACCTACGTCTATCTTGGGCTACTACTTTCCAATTCACTGTGTGCCGCCCTGAATTAACTTATCCGACTTCATCTATTCTAATCTTTTCGAATTTTTGCATGACTTCTTTATAACTATTGTGGCATTCAATATTGTGTTAAAATTTCCCGGTTGATTTCTTTGAGCTACATATCCTCCCTTTTTCAAACTATGCCTTCATATCATGAGATATAGGCTGAAAAATTTCTAATTGCAGTTCTTTATTCTAATTCTTTCTCCATGCGTTAGTACTCATGGACCGCTCCGATTATCGTTCTGAGGACTTTTCAGTCAAAATCTTTAGTTTTTCTGTCTGAGTTATTGCTCTCAACGTGTCATGGCCTCAAAGCCATATTTCAACAATGACTGTGTCGGTGCGTTGTACACTATTTATTATCTATTTCAGCTAGATATTTTCTGGTCTATCGATTAGTACTTAATTATCATTTTTAAAAGCTCTCCCGTAGGAGTAATAATATCTTTCCTTCCCCTTTTCTTTCTTCACATAGTCCGCTTACTCACCGTAATACGTTACACATGTTACAGTGCTCTGAATCCTTGGTACAGTTTTCTTGTCCCAAAATATTTTATGAAATCTTTATAACATATTTTTATAGAAAACAAAAATGTCAATGTTTTTATATAGAGAACGGCCTCATTTCAGACCCAACAAAGCAGATAGAAGTATTATATGTAAATTATTGCTTCATGCACAGAAGGCACGAACAGAGTAACATTCTAACTACACAAAAAATAACGAGCTGTTCTCCCTTTTAAGCGAGCTTTTATTTTCTTTCTTTTGTATTTCGGAGGCCATAGATACTTAAAACTTTCAAAATACTCAAACGTATTTTTTACATGAGATTATTTCCGTACAGTTGACATCATTAAGTTTAACGATTTATACCTGACAATATAAAATCACCAGTACAGTCCAGCACGTGTGTATTCCAGATTTTTCTGTAACTTTAAATTGGTTGAGGAGATTTTTCCTCTTGTTTGAAACTTGATATAAAAACTATCCGAATAATATATACAGATTCGAACTAATTTAAAACTATATAGATCGCTTCCTCTTATTCTTCCATGACTCTGTAACCCGCAGGGGTCAAGGCGACCTGATGCAAGGTCCTCCATTCATCTCTAGCCGCTCTCTAGTTATGTATGTCCAGAATTGTGCGTGCATCTTTGGTTACCCCATCGTAGCTTGGGCCGCCCACGCCTTCTGGAGGTATTGATTTTTTTTTTTTTTGGTAGCCTCCTTGGTATCGAGTTAGCATCCATCCTGGTTGCATGTGCAGTCCACCTCGGCCGAACAACCCTGATGAAGCTCACTACTTCGCGCTCCTTTTACAGCTCTTGACATTTGTTCTGATCCGCAATCCCAACTCGTTGGCATTGATAGACGCTCCGAAAATTCTTCTCAGTATCTTTCATTCACATAGGAAGATTTGATTTCCCTGGGCCTTGGATATAGTCCAGCTCTCTTATCCATATGCAAGCAGTGGACTACTCAGAGTTTTGTACAAACGCCATCTGGTTGTGCGAGACAATATTTTACAATTCATTAGTCTCACTAGCCCAAAATAACATTTATTATCTGCAGTGGTTCTTCTTTGAATTTATTTTCATATATCGTTATCCTGGGTTATTAAGGAGGCAAGGTATATACATTTATATAAATTGCTTCCTCTCCCATATTGAAAAACTACAATACCATAACAACGAGCAAATAAATTAGTACCTTCATTCATTTTTTATTTAAAAGTAAAAATAACACATAATCAAGAAAGCAACGATTTTTTTATACATTTAAATAATTATTTGAATATAAGTTTTTTTTATTATACAAATATTGAAATAATTACGAAATGATATTAGTTTATGTCAATATAATGAACTATACCAAAAACTATATGCAATAGAAAATACGTTTTAATTTTTAAGAAATATAATGGTGAACCTATATAATGGTAAAGACTTCCTGTCCTACAGTATCCTTTAACAATTATCCACCTATCCCTGTTGAACAAATCCGATACCTAGGACTCCATCTTGACAACCGACTCACTTAGAATCCTCATAGAAGACTGAAACGAGAAGAAACTCATCGACGTTTTCGACCACTCCAGCACTTACTAGACAAACGCTCTAAACTTTCTATATATTACAAAAGACTTTATACATGACTATAATAAGGCCAATCTGGACTTCAGGAATTGAGCTTTGGTGCTCCACTAAACCATCAAATTCATCGCGTATCCAATCTTACAATCTAAAATCCTTCGTAAAATCTTCAATGCTCCTTACTTTGTCACAGATAAAATCATTCATAACGACCTTAACGTAACACATGTTTTCGACTTAGCCCGATCCAGGTACATATCGTTCCATAACAAACTTCAAAACCATCTGAACCCTCTCGTTTCATACCTTCCTTCGTCTTCGATACCTGATAACCCTCCAAGGCTTCTGAAAAGAAGATGGCCTCGTGATCTACTTATGTAAATATATTATTAGAGTATATGGGTAGTTTCTCAAGAAGCGTTTTCATGTGATTGTATTATTACCGTGTGCATATTTACTGGATGTATTTTTTAATTTATCCAGTTGTAAATCTCATGAATAAATAAAACTAAAAAATAAGAATAAAATGTAATGTAAAATATATTTTTAGATGCTTCTCTCGTATCGATTCGTATTTCTGTAATTGCCACGTTATATAAAGTGCCATGAAGTAAATTTCTGTCCTGCTATATTCAATGTTAAGAATATTATCTTAAATAAGTTTTATGTATTGAATGAAGAGTTAATTAAGTACTATCCACTTACTTATAAAGTTAAAAATGGCGTTTCGAGATGGTCGATATAAATTCACCTGCAACAAAAATAAATTCATTAATGAAAAGAAACTTAAAGAGATAATTTTATGGTAAATGGTATTCAAAAGTCGTCGTAAGTTTGATTAATGTTGTAATTTCTACCCGGCTAAACTAAATAAATACAAACTTTCCGCGAAGTTACGGGGCCCTGAACTGTCTAAGCGCTTCCCGAAAACCTGAATACTTCGTTTACTTCGAGGTTTGGAGAAATAAATTCGTCGGTAGGCAAGTTGGATTTCTTTAATATTGAAATTGTTGCTTTTTAAGCGAATTCCTATGTCGAATCGCTTTGATTTGTTTGAGTTTTATTTTATTTTTTATCACTTTCCACTGAATTTATTTATTAATAATATTTATCTAAGAATTCTATTAATATAGTTTTTTATTAAATATTTTAATTTTTTAAGGGCATGTATAATTGATAAAATTCATAATTTCGACGAAAATCACTTTATTTCACCCTTATACCTCTACTCCATGCTTTCGTTTTAATTTTCTCGACGACGTTTCAGGAAATTTTCCCCATTTTCAAGTCGAAATGTTTGTTTATTATATTATAATCATATAATCTATGTAATTATATTTTTTATATAATTATAATACATTTTTTTTCTCATCACTTTCTTCTAATTATAAATTTCATAACTTATTTATGAAAAGTCAATTTATTCTATAAATTACCTGTAGACTGTCAAAAAATTAAACATTATTTTAAATTTACATCAAATTTTATACATTTTCGTCCTTTTAATGCAACAGCCTTATGTCCACTGTGAGCTGTGGGCTTACCTTTTAATGTTTTCCCTTCCTTTAAAACAAAAAATAAATAAACCGCGGTGTCAGTGATTGAACTGAAGTTTTTCTTAAGTTAATTTGAAAAATAATTAATAATCTTAAAGGGTTTTCTCCACTCCTGCAAGAATATTTTTGCCTTGTTCATTAAATAAATTAAAGGTTCAACACTTTTTTAATTAAGAAAAAAAATTAACTCTTCTAAACACAGTATGACTACTATCTAAAAAAAATAAAAAAAAGATAAAAACGCACTTTCGATTTTTTTCCAAAATGGTTTAAATTGTGAATGCTGCCAAATTTTATTAAGAATATTGAGGAATTGTTTGAATTAAGGTATCGGACTACATTAATGTAGGACTCGTGTAAAGAGAAAATAAAAATCCTTAGTTTGAAAGGATCTCGATGATTAGAAATACATAAACCACCAAAAAATAGAGAGTTTATATTTATATTTTATGTAATAAATATACTAATAAATATATGTAATAAACTATAATAATAAATTAATTAACGTTTACAAAGTATCATAAATATTAAGTAATTAAACATTTGCAATAGATAAGAACCAGTTAATTAAAAAATATAGTGTCTAATGACTGGCATCATAGGTATTATAACTTTTATAGAAAATATATATATTTTATTTAGAAGAATGGCAAAAAATTTGTAAAATATACATGAGTTTAAAAATTGTAAATTCCAAGATTCCAAAGATCACCCACTAGAAATACAAACTTATTTCTTCCGATTACTAGAAAGTCATAACGGTTATAACGTCATTTACACCGACGCCTCTAAAGTAGAAAATAGCGCTGGTTGCGCTATCTATGCAACCGCAAACCAGCTATTATTCAACTTACCAAGAGAGTGCTCCATATTCAGTGGAGAAGCGATTGGAATAATAAAGGCCCTTTATTGGATATCGAATTCCAAAGAAAAAAAATGGATCATAGCAACCGACTCCAAAAGCGTTGTGGCGGCCATTGGTAACCCATGGCCTGACAACTCTCTCATTAGAGAAATCATAAACGTATGGTGGGAGATGAGAAAAAAATCAGTAAGTGTGGTCTTTGTCTGGGTTCCATCCCATAGTGGCATAATGGGTAATGAAAAAGCAGACCAAGCTGCTCATTTGGCGAGAAAGGGAGAGCTACCAAGCCAAGCATAACAACAATAAATGACATCACCGTTGAAGATTGGATCCATGAAGCAAGAAAAAAGCTACTAAAAATTGGGAAGGTCAATGGAAAATACAACGAGCCAAACTAGCCGAAATAAAAACCGAGTGCAACACATGGACCACAAGCTTCAGAAGGTCGAGAAGAGAAGAAATAATATTGTGCCGGATGCGGACACTGCCTTTTCACACACGGATACCTACTTAGAGGTCTCGAAGCGCCAACCTGCGAAAAGTGTAACAATACACCTCAAGCAGTCAAGCATTTACTATTAGAGTGCCCCCCAATATAAAAAAGACAGACAAAAACTAAAGCTTTCGACAACATTGAAAGATATTTTGGGAGACAATGAGGGAAATGTCGTCATTCTCTTTGAATATTTATTGGAAATAAATCACTATAGTAAAATATAAAAATTAAGAAAAACCGCCAATGACCCTCTAGGGTAGAGGCGAATACAAATTAAAAAAAATAAATAAATAAATACAAAAATTGTAAAATGGTTTCTAAAAATAAAATAAACATATGCCAATTATTTAATATAATATATTATTAAACTAATTTAGTCATATTTTAAAATTTATTATCGTTTGCTAGTACTAATACATGGAATTTATAATTTATTTGCTTATTGTAATATACATAAAAACTAATTAAACTCAATGATGTATTAATGTTGTAGCATTTTAATTTGTTGAGATTATACTCACTAGAAAATAAGTTAATTTTCCCAAAACTGCATTAAAAAAAATATATATTTTTTAAAATTTATAGGTGTCGAAATGGTGTAATTTGTAAATAACTGAGGCATAGATTGCTTCAGATAGGTTTTCCATTTACTCAAGTTATCATTATTATGGGTTACATATAATAACATCTTGGTCATTACCATTAAATGTATGAAAGTAGAATGAGGTTTCGCTTTCCTCGAAACCTTCTTTTTTTTTCACGCCTCTTGACCTTTTCGACTTTCCGCCGTGAGTCCTCTAGCAGCTTTTTAGGCTGTTATCGGTGACCTCTGTGGTTCTGAACATCGATTCGTTCTCTTGGCGATATCCAGGGAACAAGTGGTGTACAATAACGGGACGCGACCACAAATCACTCTCTTTCCATCAGTCATTTTCCTGAAGGATGGTTGGCGATATTTCGAAGAAATTTCTATTCTATTTTTTTATTTATTTATAGGAAGATAGGGAACTAGGCCTATGCCCAATCCCCAACTTGGAATACCAGGAGCAATTGTGTCAGACAGAGCAGTCGCTCACTTTCCTCTCTGGGTGGGGGTGTTGCCGTGCCGTTACGAGAACCGAACCCATGTCGTAGTGGTCTAAGCAATCGAGTAGGATCTGCACTTATTTATTTCAATTTATTATTAATTTTTGTTTGTCGTTAAATCCCGCGAACAGGATTTGAATTCAAGGCATAAAAAATTGGAGGCACCTAAACTCCCTCGACTACCGAAGTAGATCCTTCCAGCATGAAAGATTTGTTTTAAATTATTGATTAATATATGTTTTATCATTCAAAACATTTTCTTGTTTCGTTTAACGACTTGTGATAATTATGGCGGATCTTACTTAATGCGTATTATTCCTGTAACCTCAGAGTTAACGTCTTAAGTCATCGAGGGCTGTTGAGTAAGATCATGACGGATCGTTATGTTCGACATAGTTTACAACATTGATTCATTGTTAACGAATATATATTTGTGTGCGTATTGTCATGTATACACACACACACTCGCGGACAGAAACTAATGTAAACGAGCCTTAATTGAAGACCTTTTGGAATGATTCTATTTTATAATCAGTTGAAGGAAGCATTAAATGAAATGATACATTAATATTAGCTAGGGCAGACTTTACATAGTAAGAGATACAATGGTATAATTGAAATGTTGTTGAATGTAATACGTGGAAGTTGGAACTGTAATCAAATATAATTTTTTCAACTAGAAGTCATTATATATATATAAATATATATATATATATATATATTATATATATATAACATATATATATATATATATATATATATATATATAATATATAACACATAGATACATCTTTTTCTGTCCTACTTGTAAATTATTGTATCGTCATAAATCCTTTTTTATTTATTTATTTTTTTTCTTAAACACATATTTTTTGCACAACCGTTGACTAAGAAACAATAGCATTTTCCGTAAATAGTACTGAATCCAAGACCCATGATGGTTGTAGTAGTTCAGATCTTTTTCAGGATTGGTTATGTTCAGTTCTTATTTTAAATGAAGATATGAAGTTGTTTGAAAGACAAATTAGCATATTCAATTTCGGTACGAACTGAAGGATGACTATGAATAGACATCAGTGAGAATGTGTCGTTGAAGTGACTGAAAATGATTGGGACGATAGACAAGTCAGCAAAAAAAAATCCAATTTCGGAAGATTGGAAGGATTATTATTGAGAGGTTGGGAATGTGGACGGACTTGAATAAGCCGGAGGAAAGAGAACAAATGGAAAAAGAAAAGAAGTTTTTCAACTCTCCTGATAACAGGGTTTCCCTTAGGCTTCCACTTTTAGTCCATCAGCTCCTCAGGGGTCTCCTATTTATTTTATATTCATAAGAATGCTCTTGCAGGGATAACACAGAAACTTTATCCTTTTCCAGGCAGTAGGCCACTTCAACTCACCTCAGGGGCCCCGGAAGAATTTTTAGAACTTCTAGTTTTTGTTTGGGCAGCTGGTGAAAGTTGATGGATCGCAAATAAAAATTAATAATAAATCATTCAATAACACTATTCAAAACTTATTTCAAATGTTTACATGTTCCCCATTTAATAAATAAAAGTTTCTTCATATAATTTAAAATATTGTTTTTATCGTCATTAACCGCACCTGCGCAGTAATTATATTAAATTTAAAACACTAAGTATTTTGTATATTTAAAGTACATTATTTTTGTAATACAAAGTTTTAAGTTATTTTCAAAGAAAGTATTTCAAATACCAAACATCAACTATATTTTATATTTTTATTAC